GGGGGGGGAGAGAAGGCAATGCTGGTGGAAGTCGCCGGGAGTAACGAAGAACACGCGAAAAGAAGCGAGCGACGCGACGTGTGGTGTCTGTGTACGCTTCGTCGATTCTCCTCGAGCGTTTCTACCTCGAGAAGAAGTCGTCCGGATGTTACGTCACGTTTGACCCGTTCAGCCCGTTGGTTCGCCACCCGCTTCGAACGCCAAATAGTCGGCCAAACCGATCCTTTTCGCGGCAGCTGAACTTTTCTTCTTTTCCTCCTCATTTTATCCTCCGTCCTCTTTCTTCCATCTAGTACTAATCGCCTGTTTTTCAACAACAACGTTCCTTTCGATTCAAACTTTTTTTTTTTTTTTGTTTTGTTTTGTTTTTGTTACGTGACCCATATGAAATTTCGACATTGGAATGTTCCTAGTGGACGTTACGTTGCGATAATAAATTACGCGGCCGATTAAAATGAAAACAAAAGTAGTTAGCCCTTTAACTGGTAGTAGTTAGGATTCATCGCGTTTACAGCGTCCTACAAAAAGGGCGTAAAGTTCCAAGCAGGCTGTTCTTGCTTCCGTGACCGAGGAACCAAAAACCTTTTGTTTTTCGTCCTTGATCGTTTTGCTTAACGGAAATTAACGCATGGTTTTCGATAGATTTCCACGGAAAATGTCAATCTTAATATAGATAACAACAGATTGTCATTAATTTCGTTTTTCACTTGGTTTCTATACAAACGTGTAATTCTTCGATTGTAGAAATAACTGCTACATTTAACCTTCTCTTTCCATTTGTAAGATTGAAACGATGAGTTGTCGAATTCGTACTAAAAGGCTAATTAATTTAAGCTTCACGCGGGCAACGTGACATATATTCTCTTTATAATGTAATTGATATAGGGCGCTTACTCGTTAACATCCTTTGTTTGCAGATCTAATGATCGATATAAAGCTCGCATGTGCACGAGCGTGTTGTTCCAGTTTTTTGCCAAATATTCGATGAAAATATCCGAAGAAGAACGCAAAGCGGTTAAAAGTGACAAAAAGATTTTTTCCAAACGAGAGAGGAGGACCAATAGAGTGCAATTAGTGTTTCTTGAATCTCGCGCTCTATTAATCCGACCGGGTGGGGGCAGAACATTGGAAGTGGCGATCGCAAAATTTTACAGAGCTTGTCCTCCTCGTATGACGTGTCTCGCGCTCGTGTGCGGCTCTCCATACATATGTAAATAGATGCGGAATAAACGGAACGTTGTAACAACAATGAGCAATGGCGAGAGAGTAGAGGGAGCAAAAATAACAGGGTCCGGTAAATGTGTGTATCGAGGGACGAGGGGGGAGGGGAGGGGAGGGGGCACACGGTGTGACGCATGGTTTGCGGCACGAGGGAACAGCATTATTTCCCCTAACGCGTCGAGAATGTCGAACGCTAATCCACTGGTGGCAGCGGATGGACGAAAGTTGCCTGAATATTGCGCGTATCAATATGCATGAGCCAGCCGAGTATACGTGTGGCTTCTTCATTTGCCCCACAAATGTCGACTTCCTCGACATCTTTCAAATTTCTATGTATTCTGAATAATCGATGTTGAAAGTTGCAAGAGTATAGTACATAAGAGAGCAGCAGCGAGTACACGTACATGCGTGATGAAAAGGATTGACGTGCACGAAACAACGGATAATTTGAAATTACTGTCGATACTCTTTAATAACAAAAATTCAGCTATTACCCCCAGGAATTCGTGTCTGTCGGTAATATTCATGTACG